TGAGTTACGCACGCCTCTCCAGAAATTTCGGAAGCCCCTGATGTCTCAGAAGTAATTGAGTCTCACGCCGGGCGGGCGTTTGCACGCGAAACGTCTTAATTATGAAAAGTAATCACGCCCGGTCTCTCGCGACGCCACTTGGAATTTAATAATCATGAAATTATTTTCGATCGCGCGCGATCAGCGCGATCGTCGATTATACCCGCGTCAGATTGCGATCTTGGATCGTGCTGACATAAGTGCGCGTCCTGGCTCGTTTTTGCGAACTCACGCACGAATGCGGCTCAATAACGATGATGCACCACGCCCGTATTAATGAGCGACGAGCCGTTTAATTGGCTTCGAGGGCCGCCGCGGCGATCGTCGCGTTCGGCTTGAGTGTCCTTCGATTTCGCGAGGACCTCTTTGATGCGACAATCGCGAACGGTCCTCGATATCAAGCTACTTCGCTTCGTGGCATTCACTGAGAGTATTAGCAGTATTAAAAGCGACCGCTCTCATCTGCATGAACATCTGACATACGGCGGGCACAAGAGATCGCTGCCCCATCTGCCGCCCTTTATGTCCCATTCCTGTCCTTTAAACGCTCTTGAGCACTGCGCAACGAATTCAGCATCGGGGCTGCAGCTAATGTAAAATGTAAAACACAGGCCAGAATTTACATCTTTTCGTTTCCAAATGTCTTCAAATTATGGAATGCGCGTTGAAAACATAATAAAAAGTCTTTTCGAAACGTTATTTAAAATTCCGGTGTGACGCAGTCGAAAAATATGAAACTCCGACGAAGCCGAGCGCGGAAAATCGGTTTGAAACAGGGTAAAATATTTGCTCTCCCTCTTTAAGGAGAGAAAAGTTTCTCCCTTTACTCAAGCACCAACGTCTGTTTGAGCGCGCGGTGTGACGGATGCAAAAGTATTTCCTCGATAAAAGTCGCCACACGCGCGGATGGTGGCATACTCCGCGGCCCCCTCGACCCCTTTGTTCGCGGCAGACACACGTATGAAGCGTGACAAAACGCGCGGACTTAAGAAAGTCCACGTTTTGTCACGCGGGAACATTTCGACGACATTCGTAGCAAACGAGTCGTGACGACGCCGCCAGCCGGGGCCCCAATTCCTTCCTCACCTATGAAAAGAATATTCACAATGGGGCGTACCGCGGGGCGACCCTTTATCTTTGAGATGTTCTCACCGTGTGCGAGCCGCTGAATCACTCGGTCTATTTACCAAAGACATACGCGCCGCGCGATAATGAATTATTGTCGGCGGCGAGCGGCCGCGCGAGCGTAACGGCGAACGATTCGTCTACGCGGTCCGGAGCTGTGTTCTTTGTTCCGAAAAGATGCAACCGGGTGATGTAACACGGGTGACGGTCGGTGACGGCGTTGCAGTTAATCTTCGCGTAACGAAAGAGTAATGACCCCCACCGACGTATGATGATATCCCGCCCCCATGATATGATCCCGACAGTCCCGCGGGCTTGTTCGTGGGATATTTGCATTATGCAACGCGCATGAGATTCTTGGAAATTCACGGAATATGTAGCACCGATGTTAATGAGCGTCGACATTGTAATAATGGAGCTAGTAACAGTGAAGTAATAAATAATAAATGTACACGGTATCGCTGGCGCGTGCAATATATGCGAATAACATTATGCTACACACATTCGCTTATTTGAATTATACGATTCAATCATACTAATCGTATAGAAATTTGCGAGTATTTTAGAAATTATACGCGGCAATAATAATGGCAATTGTTTAATAACTGGCAATCACGCAGTCCGCTGATCGCCGATTACATATTTTAATGGCGCTACACGAATGCGAAGAGAGAGAGAGAGAGATACGGAGAGTCGAGAGGAGAGACAAATGTTCGACTAATTTCCGTTCGCGACATAAGGTCGATGATACGGTCCTGACTGCACGCGGTGCACACAAACATTAAACAAGTACCAACCCTTCATAGCTCAAGCATATCCCACCACGGTGACTCCCTTTTTCCTCGACCCTTCAATTTAATCAGCTTCATTCAGTCTACCGCGAAACAACCTGCCACATGGTGGCCATTGTAGCACACTGGATATTATTAACGACACACATACGCCCGTACACATACTCCGAGTGCGGATCGTTTCGTCGTCTCGTTCGGTTTTTATGCGACCAGTGCACTATCACCGCCGTGAACAAACACGGGGACCGCCATATGCACTCACGTGTTTTCTTTGTCGGTGTCGTTATTGTCATTTGTCGCATGACCCGCTTTTCGCGCTCGTCGGCTCAGAAATTCCGCGATGGTTCGGAGAACGATGGTTTCCGGCGCGGCTCTCTTCCGCTCCTTTCAGCAGCGCATCGATAATGTTCCCCGGCGGCAGTAATGTAAATTACTTCGGTCTGGCGTTAGTGGCGACGAAAAACCCACGCAGTCCTCGCCAATATGAGAAAATTTGATCGTTTTCTTGGCATAAATATATCGAACGCTTCCTCCCCCTCCCCGCGCGTCGTCTCAAAACTACCGTCTTGGCGACGGGCCAAAGACGCGGGGATTCGCCCGACGCCCTTTGCGCGAAGTGGGACAGAAACTCGGCGAAGTGCTCGTACTTCGATAAAACTTGCTTCACTTCGATAATGGATTTTCGCTGTGTCCCAGAAATTTCCGGGAAATAAACGCGCTGCATATTTAAATTACCCATCTTCCGCTCTCCATCGCTCGACTTGGAAGACGTTTCCTTTCGGGTAATTAAAGCGCGCAGAGTAAACCGCACAGTTACGTCTCGCCCAACACACTTATCTATCATTTGGATGTGTGTGACATTTCAATTAAGAATCTTTGTTTAGATTTACATCAGAATTCCAAGTGGCGGCAAACTTTTTATTGCTAAAAAAAAATTACGGATAAAGCTTATTAATAGAGATTTCAGATGTGATTATGCGTTTTGTTCAATTTCAAATCTACAACTTCAATGAGAGATAATAGCAACATAGAAATGGATAGAGGCCCCGCTGGATGATTAAAAGAATCGATCGACCGTGCGGGTTATTTTCAAATTTCATTCACGAGGTCATTGAATATTAAAAATATCGATGATTGCGGATGCCGACATACTGAATAAGACGCATAATGACGGGAATCTTGACGTGCGGCTTTATAAGCTTGATTGAACTCACGGCCGAATATTGAATTCGGCAGAATGCAGCGTTCAGAATCGACGATCGTCTATCGGGTCCATTCTCGAGGCGGACAACGTCCGGTGATAATGACGGAGATGACTGTGGCAGTTTCAATGATTAACGACTATCGCGCGCCGCTCGATTGAATTCGATTTGTCTTCCCGGACGCCACAGGTAAAGCTATCCTTTAATCATTCCGATCGGAGTAATGAGTTTACACGGCAATCGACGGACTTTACGTGAAAGAGTAGCCTGCCTAACTTGATCGTGATCGATGAATCGCATCGTATCTATAAAGATGTTAACCTCGTGGAAAAAAGGCAGGTGCGCGCAGAACGCGCCGATAATTTGTCCGTAATATGCTTTTATTACAATAATCGTACATTTTTATTACTTGCGTAAAAATTGAAACATCTTCGGAGGGGCAAAGACCCGCGGCGAGAGACGGCGAATATATAAAGTTCCGCGACGTGCAATCGAGAAATTTTATTGCGCACGCGGCTAAACAGCGCTTGTGCGTTAAAACTGACTTTTATCTCGCCATCGCGTAAGCTTTCTTACGGCAAAAACACAGATCGATCATTTTTGGATTACCGATCACTGCCATTGCGAGTATCAATCACCGCGGGGACTTTTATCGTGACGCCAGTATGTGGCGATGACCATTAAAAAAAAGAAGTAAAATTTATTTCACAATCGCTACGTGTCCTCCATTACGACCATTAACTTTCATGGGACGTAGTTCCGGAATGTTAGATACATGTTCCCATGCACCCAGAAGACGACTCTTGGCGCGTATAGTTGAAACGGTATACGGCAACTCGAAATTGTAAATATTCACGATCGAGCATAGTTTACCATTTGTAACGTATAAATCAACTTAATGGCATATTTTAGCGTACAAACTTATATAATCATATTATATTATTGTTTCAAAAATATGTATACATGATTTCGTCGTTATGGCTTATGGCGTAATTTCAGCTGACGCCTTTTTATTATTTTTTTTTTAATTACTAAAATTACTAGAGAATTAATTAGAGAATATAATTTTGTATTATTTCACTTCGATATGTTTTCCTCTTTATATTTTACTTTTATTCGCTTTCAAGTATTCCCCGCTGACGAGATTTGCAATTAAATATTTCACGAAAGATCAATTGGCAATCGCGTAAAAGATTACGCGAAGCTATTGTCCGTTTTTGAAACATGCACAAGTCGTAACGTTTTTTTTTTTTTATCCTGGACCTCGATTTTTATGGATCGGATGATATTGCGGCAGCGAACGAACGGTCGGGTTGGCGTGCACGCGAGAATCGATTAAGCGCCGATATGATTCCGGGGAAAAAAATGGTAATGTATTCCTGAAGGCGATTGGACGATGGCCCACATCTCCGGGGCGAAAGTGCATTTCCGCGCGCGCAACAACCGACCGTCCGCCGTCTTTGACCGCTGTGCGACCGAAAATAGCGCATTCCACGAGTTTATAACTGTCACGGATATAAACCGTGAAGGGAATCGATCGGCCAGGTAAACACGTGCGCGCTCATATCCGGCCCGGTGTATCCTTCTAAATTCGGCTTTGTTACCGGCAGTAGGGCGGCGCGTCGCGCCGCCGCCGAGCCGCGCCGAGCTATATTGCAATATTCCGGCGGGCGCGCGATAGGATCCGGTCGGACGGGCGTGGGCGCGTCGGAGGAGGAAAAAAAAAAAACTGTATGGTAATGTATTCTAGAAAATGCAATAGCACCGCACACACGTGCGACGCACGTGGAGCACCCCGCGAAGAAAAGTAGAAGCCGACAGGCAGGTAGGGTTTCGCACTCACCGAAAGGGGATGACGCTTGGAGAGCTCCGAACTCTCTCCAAGGGGTTGGCTGGCCGGGCGATGGTCGGGACGAGACAACGAGGGCTCGTCAACTACTTTGACACGTACACCCCGCCGTCGTGGTTGTCGGTGAATTTCGCCTTTAAGAACTGCGGGACGCCAGTGTATCCCGCGGCGTGACATCGGCTTCCCGCCGCCTCGCTCTCTCCTGGCCCTGAGACAGTTTCGGAACACTTTAAAAGTGCTGTAGCTACGTATGCATATGTACCGGTGCGACTGCGATTCGCCGCGCGACGTTTAGTGATGGATCGGGCCGGATGTGATACGGGCGCGCGTATACGGGATTAGGATCGATGGGAATTTTGGATTTTTATCGCGAACGGCAAGTATCGCCGTACACGGGCAGTAACGTAAAATCTAGGGGCGCTGCGACGTACAGAAAGCCCCGCGCGATACTTGAATAGGCGCATATCGCCCCTCGATTTCGACCGAATGAGCGGAAAGCGAAGCTAAATCGCGTAGATTTGCAATTAACGTGTAATTCGATTTAAAATATAAAACAGCGCCGAAAGTTCGAAGCGCCTATAAATTTCTCATTACAGGCGAATGCAATTAATTCGCCGTCATAAATTAATGAAATTTCGCTGGAAGAGTCGAGGCTGAGTAGTACGCCGTTACTGGAAACAATTAATATATCGTACCAATAGTTTCATTAATTAAATTATCCGCAATTGTTACGTAGGATGTGTTCGTAAAGCGCACTTCACCACCCGCCGACGCGCGTGCGGAAAACCACCGTGAGCAGATTCACGATGATAGAGTGATTGGCCGGGCGATCGTAAAACTTAATTTGTATAATGGCCGCATCTTTGGTAATGCCCGTATCATGGCACGCTCGCATTATTACCGGTGCAGATAACACACTTGATGGAAAATATCGTGATACGCTATCGATTTCGCTGCATTTAGGGCTTTTTATCTTAATTACGCCGCAGCCCGTTCGCGGGTATATTATTAGCTCGTTAATGCATTTTATAGGCGGCCACTCTAACAAGCCTTTGTCATTGTAACGTGAATTTGTAGATTAAGCTTAATTAAAATCTCGCCGTGGGATCGTCACAATTATTTTCATAATCATTCCGCCATCGCTTTAATTATCGTAACGTGAACGTGCGCATTCGCATGGCGCGTGCAATACGGAATGTAATTTTGCTCGCTCGGCCATCATCGAGAAATTTGCATTTTGCAGGCAACAATTACGCGCGATTTACAAAATGCGTTTCGCACGAGCTATCGATCTCCATCGAATTTTCCTCAAATGCTACTATACAGAACGCATTGATTTTTTTTTTCAAACCTGAATAAATCACGTTTTGCGTTTACAGCGCGTGAAAATTTTAATATTAAGTGTAATTAAGCGAATCGCAACTTTAATAATGTAATAACATTCTTTTGCAAATATTCAAATTTAAATCCCCGAGGGCCACATTAAATAAAAAAAAAAAAAAGATTTCTAAGGGACAATATGCTGCGTGCTTGCGAAATATGCTGTTATGATATCCGCCCGGTGTCTCGCGGAAAAACGCAAGTGGATATAACGACTTCGCATGTCGAACGGGAAATTTCGTCGAATTCCTCGAACGTTTTGCATAGCTGCCGTGTCACAGAAACGTCACATAGCTCGTGGGCCGACGACGAAAGAGATACGAATCGCTAAACGCTACATTGCCGTCGACAAGCCGAATTGCGAGATGCCATACCGTGTGTCGGATTAATGGCTTCCCGACAGGGTGTAACGATCGTTCCGCACCCCATGAAGTATCTCGAGGGACGCGAGAACGGCCCCGTTTTGATTCGCGCGAGGGCACCGTCGCGATACGCCACCCCTCGAGATCGCGCCAATGCAAGTCGGCGTGCGTGTACGTACAAATCTACATTGGCGGAGAAGATTTAAGGCGCCGTATTGTGTAACACGCGGGAAAAGGGGGGCTGACACTAGTCCACCCGAAATCCCCGGCCATGAAAACGCCTATTTCGGGGTTCCTCACTTCGTCGCGATTACATTCCTACCCACCCGGGTTCGCCCTGTGTGTACACGTCGATCCTTCCGTGCGGGCATCTACGATACGGCTTTGAGGCTCTCGAATATCTGATCGACTGGTCACAGTACCTTGTCGAATGGTCAGAGCATCTCTGAATATCTCGCGAGGGTCTGGCGTTTGCAGAAATAGCTATCGGAGGTATCTAAAATGGGGCACGACGCGTCAATGCCCGGAGATATCGTCAAACGTATATATCGAAAACGACGAGGAAATTGAAATAAGAATAATTCTCTCTAATCGATGAAAAAGAGGAAACCGCTGGTTTATGCGCGTTATTTCGCTTTTGCAAATTAAGAACCATTATATGAGCGACTACATTTTGCGTAAGACAAACGCTGCAAAGGAAACATCTTTGTGTCCTTGAATTGTTAACTTGGAGCTATCAGATATTTGCAAGGTAGCTGCTGGCGACTATAAGCGATAGGAAATTTACTTATCGGGCACGCCAAGAATTTCTGAGATTATCTGAAATTTTCAAATATCCCGGAACATTGCGAAACTCGTGGCGGATCTTGCAATCGATTGGCGGGAAGTCGCCGTGGGCGGTCTTCAAAATCAATTCATAATACCTCCGAGGTACTCCACGTTCTGTGGCTGTGATCTCATTATAGCTGGAGAAGATTCAGTTACCAATATCCGACTATAACTTTGGTCGGCTAAAGGAGATCTTATATTTGCAGTTGATTTCCCAACCGAACATTCCAGGCCTGGAGTGCCGATATTTCGCATTACGCAAGACTACATTGAGGTCTGAGTGTCATAATAAGACTAGAACAACAGAGAGGCAGACACGAGAGCTTCATCAAGATAATTTCTACAGCGATGGATTATGCAACCAAATGAACGTTAAGTCAGAAAAATGATTTAGACGATTTGCTAGGCAAGAAAAAAGAAATATTTCCAACGTTTACGCGAGAGCTTCATCGAGATAACGTCTACAGCGATGGATTATGCAATCAAATAAAAGTTAGAAAAATGATTTAGACGATTCGCCGGGCAAAAAGAGATTTAATATACGTTTACGCATCGCACATTTACATTGATTTGTCGCATAATATAACTAATTAATTAACTATGGAGTTAATAAATCAAAAATACGATTAGTAATGATAATACGTTTGTCTACTTATGCATCTTCATGTTTAATGATAATTTATCCCATAAACTAGTTATAAACGTTACTTTTAACTGAAATCCTACGTCTCTTCGTATAAAATAATTTATGTAAATAATTTAATGTAAGTAATTTATGCAAATGCATCGCAAAAGAGCATAATGATTATAAAATAATCAATAATTAATTGAATTAGAAGCGAACAAATCGATACTTTCAAAATAAAATTAGTTTGACCAGGGAATATTTAATCTTTGGAAAAATTATTAATGAGAGAGAAATACCTACTGAAATTTATACATATATATATACGTAATAGCTTTTGTCATTTCTGCAAAATATCACATTTTCGAAAAAGAATCATGCTTGCTAAAGTATTGCTTAATAGATTCGACTTTCTAAATTATATTTAACTGTTCTCTTTCCATTGTTGCTCCAATGTCTCAGAGCATCGGTATTTTTGGAGTTGCGCCAACCACATCTTGAACGTGTAAAACCTTTACCGTTACTAATCGTGTATTCCTTGCCGCAAATTCACTATTTGCGTTCTAGCTCTCTCTCTCTCTATCTACCATTTTATCGTGAAATATCCGCGGACACGACGCATACGGAGGAATCTAAGAAATCGCCATTGAGACACCGATGCGTCTCCCAGACGCACGCTGCCACGGTAAACACCACTTCTTCGCGGACGGTACACGTTAACCGCCATCCGGGAGCAGCGCGTTTATTCGCAGACCTTCTTGCACGCCACATTGACGACGATGAAACGAAACACACACAGGGGCGGTCTGCAGGCGGTCTTTCCAGCGCGAAAGCTCCGCCTGCGGAACCAACCGGCCTACATGCACGAGAAACGTCAACTTCTTCGTGGCACCTACTTATACCTCTTCGTCTTCCCGTCCGTCCGTCCGTCCGTCCGTCCGTCCGTCCGTTTCGTACGTCCGTCCGGCCGTGCGAGTGCAGCGAGCGCTCGTTGGCCTTCTTCGAGCGCGCGGCGCGCCCTTCGGCCGTATGCTAATGCCCGCGGCGTTTCGTGACGCGATACAGTTTTCGTTGTTAACCTCGACTGACCTCCTCTCTTCTTGGTGTGCCTGCGAGTGAAAGTGCGAGCGACGCCGAGCCTTTTCGTCGTCGGTAGGCCGTAGGTGCCGTCGCGCCGTACGCGCCGACGATCGATCGCGTCTCGTCCGACGAAAACGGAGATCTTTATGAACGATGTTCGCCCGCGCACCCTCCAGAAAGGATGCGACTTCCGCGCCCGCAAATTCGATTATCGGTTTTACAGGGTTTTTTTTCAGCACGCCCGCTACACTCTTTCTGAGTCTTTGTACGACGTCGGAAGAGATTTGTTGCAGATGGTTCTGGCGTTACTTTCTTCCTCCGCCTTTCCGCGTAGGGTTGCAAGTTGCCACTGAGAAGGTTTCTTGAAAACTCCTTTGCAAATCTTGTGAAACGGAAAATAGAGATTCTGCAAATAAGTCATCTTGTCGTTTAGGAGAGTTTTGCATTAAATGAATAAAATACATTTTTCTCAAAGGAAAAAGTTTTTTGCCAAACAAATTCTTAATTATTTATAAATATAAACTGCACGGACGCAACTTGTTTTTATTATAATGCAAAGTTGTCTTCGTTAAAACATTCCAGCTTCAACGTATGACAATGACTCCTACGATTTCCTATTAATAATCTTACGAGCTCGAGATACCGCATCTTCAATCTGCGAGCTATAATAAATAATGATTTATGTTGTTGTTACAACCCATTTGACCGCCGATATCCTTTCAAAGACGGATCTCATTCCAAAATTTATTTTTCAGTAATTTTTTTTTCCATTTCCATTCTTCGATCATTTAATGACGATGTTTCGTTCTTGTGGACTCTCGCGCATGATATCATGCAGCAGAATAAACACTTATTCAAATAAGAGAAACAGCCCATTGGAAAAAAAAAGAGGGATCCGGCCGCTTGCACGTGGAACTAGTACGGGCATAAATTCCAACAGATAGTATGCACGCTGTTGGAACGAAGAAAGATTCTCCCTCACAGATTCCCTATGAGAGAACGCCTGCACGGTTATTTAGATCTTTCATTCTCTCGCGGACAACTCAAAGACTTTGTCGTCTATCGCCTAAATTATTTCCCCGGCATTTCCATGAAGAGAAAGAGGTGTTCATTTACATAACTATGAATTTTTTCTCGCCTGCGTATATTGCTCGCGCTTATTTTTATATATATCTCGTTAATGTTAATTGGTTTAACACGCTAAACATATGTGTGTGTATGTGTGTGTGTGTGTGTTGTTGTTGCTTTACTCAGCGTATGCCGTGTGTCGTACTATGCTCAAGGTGTAATCTTGTAAATTGCGTTTTACGAAAAAAATCGATACCGCCGTCTCGCCCTGACGACCACGGCGGCCAAAGAGATTCAGCTGGGTCACAAGCGGCCGCTCGCACTTAGATCACGCTAAACGAAAATACGCAGCGACGCCACCACTTGATGCCCCGTTAGTGTCCCGTGCGACTTAGTCACACTGATAAAGTATTCCAATTGCGACGCGGAGCGGTTTAGTTCCTCGGTGGGAAAACGACGCGGGAATGATATCACGCTGACAAGCCGTAAATACATAATGAAGTGTGGAAACCCCGTATGTTTAAATCCATGAATGCCACCATCCGTCATCGTGAGTACGCGCGTGGTACGACTTCGAATTTATAATCCCGTGCGCTCATCTAGTATACTCGCGTGATTCATCATCTTATACACTCTTACCGCGACAGATGGGTAGCCGTCGCTCGGAATAAGTTCAAGGAGAAGTTAGACGTTTAAGGAATATGCAATTAGTATTGTGCACACCGCGCGGAGCAATATTAATCCTTTAATTAAAGAATTTTTTCTTGCTCCAAATGTCCTGGATTCTTCATATCCAAATCAAATTGTTATCTAGATCATTTTTTATATAACAAAGAGAATGTGTTTGGAGAATTATGATACGTTAACTGCTACGTTATATATATATTATTATAAAAAAATATATATTTGTGTACATATATATAAAGATTTCAGAATTATCTTACGCAACAATTTATTAACATTAGAAATTTGCCAATTTAAATTCTAATAATTAGAGAATTAAGAGACTCAAGAATTGACAAGTTTAAACAATTTTTCTAAGACATTTTCAATTATTGTATCGACAAAAAAATTCTGTTACATAAGAATAAATTATATAAAAAGTGGAAGAATTATTAGGAGCATGTCTCCATAAAGTCGCTCGAGTTTTAAGCTTTATAGTATCTAATCTTTAAAATACCAAGAGATAGGGCACTAAAATGTAGGTAAAAGTACTATCATTATCTAAAAGCTTGTTTCAGTTCGCTAGCTAAAACGCAGATGTCGCTAAAGATCTCATTTTTAGGGGTAGCTGCCCTGCGCTAGGAAGTATGAATCAGCGTATGAATGGCACATCTATTTTTTTTATATTAAATATTAAGCGAAGCTACAAAAAGCAGATGGACTTTAATAAAACTGCAGCTTTGTTAAATATTAATTCGGATGGAAACAGAGTTGACCGATATCGATTCTTACTCATCTTTCAGCTTTATCCACTCATCTTTCAGCTTTATTAAATCGCGACACGTTAAATAAGCTTGACATCAAATTAGTCGCCAATGCTATATTGATCCTGCATCCGCGCGCAATCTAATCGCGCTCGGCAATCGAATGCGTAGCAAATGCGCTCACGCATGCGAGCTGGCATGTCTGAACTAAAACTTGGAAAATATCCGTATCAAACGTATCTGTTTCGAACTTTTTCGCAGAAAACCCGCTCACGTTCGCGGCAAATCCTTTTCGGCATGCAACGTTGCGCCGGTCCCAAATGCTTTCGGGAGCTGAAAAGAAACTCGTCGAAAATTCAAAGCGCAATGTAAAAACAACAAATCAAGGCTATCATTGTATTTTACGAAATTGTATTTTATGAAAGTTCGCGTCGACAGGCGCCGTGGGACAATTCCAGTTAGCCTATTAGACGATGTCGAGGACAGTACGCGCCCGAGGGTGAAAAGATCCTCACGCGAAGTAACGAGGGATAAAACATTCGTTCGGCAGAGAGAAGCCGCTTGATAAATGCGTGCCGGTGCGTCTAGGAACCAGTTTAGTGTTTATCTAGTAAGTAGCGTTGTCAGTCAGCTGGTTTGTTGCATCTTCGTGGTAGGACGAGCGGGACGAGCGGGAGAAGGAAGGCAAGCAGGCAGGCAGGCAGGCAGGCAGCCGCCTGTGGCATGCAACGTTTGCCGAGAAGCGTGTGCGCGAGCGAGCACCGTGTCTCTGTGTCAGTGCCAGTCGGGGGGAAGCGGAATCCTACAGGATGGTAGGGATAACGCGACGGTGGTGGGAAGGCTGGTAGTAGGGAAAGGCAACCGCACGCCGCCAGTTATGCCAGGGTACACCGTGATCGTGGATAGAACGCGAGTCAGTTGCACTCCGACCGTCGCGGTGGAATGTCGTCGTTCCCGGGACGCAGCCGTCATCGTCACCCGGGTAACACGTAATCACGGCAGTGAGGATATTCGCCGCCGTGTGGACGGACGTGTGTAGTTGGTGGTTTTGCACCGCGCTATTTGTTTGGAATGAGCGATCGGCGCTCGGGCGATACGCGCGCGCGGACGACGAGGTCGAGGGCCGTCGCTTTGTGTCGATCGGTGTGAGTCGTGTGTCGTGTGTCTTGGCCGACGGCAACGAGAATCGGCGAGAATCGTACGATCAAGCGTGCTTCCGGCGCGTTCTGCCGCGTGGCGTGTCGTGGAAACCAAGTGTACAGTTGAAACCGAGTGCCGCGGCTATGAGTGCGTGACGATACGACCGTTTCTCTCGACCACGAGTATCTTCCGGCCACAAGGAGCGCGTCTGCGGAAACGTCCAGAATGGAGGCGCGTCGTTGCGTAGCGTCGTGGTCGCGACCGGCGATCCGGTCGGCGATCGTTGTTTTGTGCTTGCTTCTGGATTATTGCACGGTGCACGGGCGCAGCATCACGAGTCTCGAGGCGCCGAGCGGTTGCCAGTGGAGAAACGACAACGAGGACAGTGAGAAGGATCTGATCTGCAAAATCCGAACGATCGCGAACGCGTCCGTGCTGATCGGCAATCTCTCGGCGATACAGGCGGATTCGGTGACATCGCTGGGATTCGAATGCAGCGACGTGTTGTTCTTCGAGAGCCAGTTCGAGGATCGGCACGGCTTTCTCTCGACGCTGCCGCGTCTCGTCAAGCTGCGCGTCGATTACTGCAAGATCCGACATTTATCAGGCGGTCTGTTCGCTTCGCTGCACAATCTCCGCTCTCTGTCCCTGCGTACGCACAACGGCGACTGGTCCACCATGACGCTGGAGCTGCATCGCGAGGCGCTTCACGGCTTAATGAATCTGCAGCATCTCGATCTCGCCGACAACAATCTGTGGACGTTGCCGTCGGATCTGCTCTGCCCGGTGCGCGGTCTCACGAGCCTGAATCTCACGCGCAACAAGTTACAGGACATCGTGCAGCTCGGCTTCGCCGAATGGTCTGATCCCTGCACGCTCGTTGGTCTCGAAATTCTCGATATCAGTGATAACGACCTCAGTGCCTTGCCCGATCAGGCTCTCAGCAGCCTGCACAGTCTGAGCGTGCTGAAGGTGCAGGAGAACGTGATCGCCGCCGTCGGCGACCACGCGCTGGCCGGTCTTACGAACCTGCGTGTTCTAAACGTGTCTAGCAACAGACTCGTCGCACTGCCACCCGAAATGTTTTCAAAAACCAAAGGCTTGCAGGAGCTGGTGCTCAGTAATAATTCCCTCACCGTGTTAGCGCCCGGACTGTTGGACAGCCTCGAGCAATTGGAACTGTTGGATCTCAGCGTCAACGAACTCACCAGTCATTGGGTGAATCGGGATACCTTCTCGCGGCTGGTCAACCTCATCATCCTCGACCTGTCCTTCAACGCCCTGACCAAGATCGACGCGTACGTCTTCAAGGGTCTGTACAACCTGCAGATTCTCAGGCTCGAGCACAACAATATCGACACGCTGGTCGACGGCTGCTTCGCCTCGCTCACCAACCTGCATACCCTCACGCTGTCGCACAACAGGATCGCCAGATTCGATCCGGCGCACACGATTGGCCTCGATGCGGTCCGACAGCTCTTTCTCGACAGCAACAAGCTGCGCATTCTGCACAGGCACGTCTTCACCAATTTCACGAACCTGCAGGATCTCTCTCTCTGCACCAACTCCCTGACGGAAGTACCTTACGCGGTGCGGTTGCTGTCCACGCTCAAGACTCTCGATCTCGGCAGCAACCAGGTGACGCAGATCGACAACGAGTCGTTCGCCGGCCTGAACGAGCTCTACGGGCTGCGTTTAGTGGACAATAAACTGGAAAATGTGTCGCGCGAAGCGTTCGCGTCACTACCGTCGTTGCAAGTGCTTAATCTCGCGGACAATTTTATCCGTCACGTGGAACAAAGCGCTTTCGCGAGTAATACGGTGCTGCAGGTGATAAGGCTGGACGGCAATCAATTGACGGAGATCCGCAGCCTCTTCACGAATCTCGAAGCTCTCGCCTGGCTGAATGTGTCGAATAATAAACTGCTGTGGTTCGACTACAGCCATCTACCGCGCAGCATAGACTGGTTGGATATACACGCGAATCAACTGAGCGAGCTCGGCGATTACTACAGCATGCGCAATCACATGGAAATCAAGACTCTGGACGCCAGTTACAATCTTCTCACCGAGATCACGGAGAACAGTATGCCGGATTCGGTGGAGACGGTCTTTCTCAACAACAACAAGATAAAGCGCGTCGCGACCGGCACGTTTATGCAGAAAAACAATCTGAAGAAAGTGACGCTGCACGACAACAAAATCAGGAATCTCGACGTGAACGCTCTCGCGCTGCAAGCGATGCCGGACGACAGGCAGCTTCCGGAGTTTTATATCGGCAACAATCCCATTCTCTGCGATTGCGGCATGGAGTGGCTGCCGCGAATCAACGAGATGGCACGCCAGCGTCAGCATCCGCGCGTCATGGACCTCGACGAGGTCACGTGCGACATGGTGCACATCCGCGCCGCGCCGCGCCGTCCGCTGCTGTCCTTGAAACCGAAGGACTTTCTCTGCCGATACGACGCGCACTGCTTCGCGCTCTGCCATTGCTGCGACTTCGACGCGTGCGACTGCGAGATGACGTGCCCGGACAATTGCTCGTGCTACCACGATGACAGCTGGTCCAGCAACGTCGTCGACTGCTCGAACGCCGGATACAAACACGTGCCCGAGCGGATACCGATGGACGCGACGGAGATTTATTTGGACGGCAACGAGCTGGGTGATCTGGGCAGCCACGTATTCATCGGCAAACGTCGTCTCGAGGTGCTGTATCTCAACAACAGCGGCATCGCCGCGATACACAATCGCACGTTCAACGGCGTCGGCGCCCTGCGCGTCCTCCATCTCGAGGACAACGCGCTGCGGGAGCTCCGCGGCTTCGAGTTCGATCAGCTGGAACGCATGTCGGAACTGTACCTGGATCACAACGCCATCGCCACCGTGGGAAACACGACGTTCAAGAAGATGCGGAAACTCGAGGTGCTGCGATTGGACAGCAATCGCATCGTCGACTTCCGGCCGTGGGAGGTGCTGCCGAGTGGCGACAGCACCAAAGTCGCACTGGAGGGTAACGCCTGGAGCTGCGAATGCGTGAACGCCGCCCGGCTTCGCGCCTGGCTCGCGGAGCATCGCGGCGATCCTGAAAAAATGTATTGCCGCGACGGCATCGAGACGCTCGCACAAGCGATGGAGCGATGCGGCGATCCGTCCACGGAAGCGGTGAGTCGTGGCATTCAGGAGATTCCGTTGCTCGGCGGCAACTTTGTACCTCTCCTCGCCGGCGCCTTGGTGGCTGTGATCGCCATTTGTCTCATCGTCGCCCTGGCCTTCGCTTTCCGGCAAGACGTCCGCCTCTGGGCTCACGCGCGCTACGGTCTACGACTCGGCAAGATGGCAACGCCGCCCGACGAGGAAAGAGACAGACTATACGACGGCTACATCGTCTACAGCGAGAGCGACGAGGATTTCGTCTCCAGGTTCCTCGCGGCCGAATTGGAACAAGCCGGCTTGGCGCTGTGCTTGCACTGGCGCGATCTGCCACCGGCGAGGCCGCAAGAAGCCCTGCCGCCGGCTGCGGCCGCCGCCAAACGCATCGTCATCATTTTCTCGCCGGTGTTCCTGGCGAACGAGTGGCAGCACGTGGAATTCCGCGCCGCCTTGAGGACCGCGCTCGAAAACATCAGGCCAACCTCGCGGAAACGTCGCATCGTGCTGCTGCTGGCCACTGAGACGCCCACCCGGGACCCGGAACTCCAGCTGCTGCTGCAAACGTGCACGGTGGTGGTCTGGGGCGAGAAAAGGTTCTGGGAGAAGCTGAGATTCGCGATGCCGGACTCGGTTGACAAGCGGCGTGACAGCAAGAAGGTCAACGACCGCAACCGCACGCCGACGCGGTACACCGCGGCGCCGTCTGCCGCGGTGGACGTGTGGACCAAGCCCAATGGTGTTTTGGTCGCACCGGTGCATCACGCGCCCACGCCTACACCCACGCAATCTACCTACGTCAGCTCGGCGTCCAGCCGGACCGAGGACGAGGACAGCGGCGCGGAGCATCAGCACCACCAGCACCCGCACCCGCACCATCCGCATCAGCATGGCTACAGCGCGCTGCACGTCGGTAACGGCCGCCCGGCCAGTCTGTCCTCCAGGGGCAGCCATCTCTACAGCACCATACCGGAACCGCCGGTGCCCACCGCGCCGCCCGGGGAAGTCCTCGCCGCCGCGCATCCGGGCAATCCGCGTACTTACTTCGTCTAGCGCAGAAGGGCGGCGATCGTGCTTCGATCCGGCAGAAGATAGACCGACCGACCGACCGACTTTCCCCTCTCCTTCTCCCATCTACCTTTGACTTCTTCCGGTCGTCTTCGCTTCCGGTAGACGCGATCGCCTGGCGTTCCTTCGCCATCGAGATGTAAGCAAAATTTCTTCGCTTCAGGACGACGCGGTTACACTTGTACAGTATTTCCCCGGTGCTCGCGACACATCCCCCCCCCCCCCCGACTGAGGCGCTTCAGCTCTTCCACTTTCGAGGTCGATCGCCCTCCCGCCCCGTGAATCACTTCCGCGCGTCCGAACGCATCACACGCGCGTAGTATTACATACGTACGAAAATCAATGCCTTGCGCTTATTATCAATGTACGACGATAGACTTTAACGTGGCTTGAAATCATTTTCCTTTTTTTTCCCTTTTCGAATGCGATCGTCGGACTTTGTTTCTTTCTGATATCTCCTTTTTCACACCGTTGCATAATGTTCTTCCGAATGATCAAATGCTTATTGTTTCGAATTTATCAGACGTGAATTCCGAGAACTGCTTTTCTCTCGTTTCAGATTTCGCGCATAGTAACACGAGAGCCGCGAGAAGAATTGATTCTAAATTTGTGCGCGAGTTTTTGTTTGACAAGCGAGACGTCGCTTTGTGAAGTGTAACCGAGGATTTATATTAATTTATAATCTTGTATATATGTGGTTTTCACGCTCTTTAATTTTTACGAAACTTCTTCTTCGTGTATCTCTACATCGGTTAATTTATTCGCCACGCTAAATGATGGTCAATCATCGAGCCTGAAAAGTAGGTTACAAACGAAGCAATTAGGCGAATTTTACTGGTTGCTTCATTGCGATCGATGGATCTCTAATTCAAATGTTTTGATCCCTTTCATAAACGAGGTCTCTTGATTTAGAGTCGCGCTGTTTCAATTTGCATTAACTGGCATAACTGTCAGCGAATTCATCAATATGGTTATTTATGTTTTGAATGCATACGACGAACGATGAATAATGATGATAATATCTAAATATAGCAGCCGATGCTATGATGTTCCATACGCGATCATTTCGCGAATATTAATTAAATTATTTTGGTAATTTTTGGTTCTAGTATTTTTTTCATAGTGAGCGGCGTGTACGAAACAATTATAACAATAATTATCATGGCGTTATGAAAGATAAAAGAGAGAGCGAGAATGAAAGAGAAGTGTTCTGTATAGATATTTATTTTAAATATTTGAACGGATGCATTTATTTTATATCATACACGTGATACTTTATTACTTTATTAGCGATATAACTGTATTATGCGTTTGACAACTTAATTGCGAATATTTATATCTTTTTTTTTTTCGATGCTCGAATAACAATGCGTAAGCAAAGTGATATATATGTGTATATACGAATATTGTATTTCATCGCTTTTTTGATCATCCATTTTATTTTGAAATGGGAAAATCGAAATATTGCAGAAACCATTTTCATATAGACTTAAAAAAAAAAAAAAAAAAATCCATTCAAATTTCGTTAAGTACTCGCGATAATTTTCAACGAGACGGCTAAAATAAAGTTAGCTCGAATGCAATTTTCTTTTTTTTATTAATCAAAATCTCTTACGAACAAAGTTCCTCGCGCACTGACATTTCTTTGGGGCTCGAGGCGCATCCCTTTTCGCCATTCCCGTCGTTCGTTCGTCAATCGCTCGTGATGAGAAAAGATCGTCAGATATTAAGTGACAAAAGGAAAAGACAGACGTCTCGTGAGAGCTTGTTCCTAAAGATTCACGACTGTCTTGATAAAGTAACGGTCGCATAACGCTTATTAGTCCGTAAGTGAAAAAACTCTCTGTAAATATTGTATCTAATTTTTGTAAATACTCATGCACATTTCCGAGCACACCGAAGACCAGCGCTGCGTATGTTACTGGTCGTGAATACGTCTTAACTATAATTGCGCGTTTAGGAGTGTAATTCTAACTGTATTGTATTATTGTAAATACGCTCATCGGATCACGCATTATATATTCACAATCTGTTAAATATGTATTAAATTAATTGCCACTTTCCATTTCAGCAAAGATTCATGAAAATAAACACGTTTGTTTTATAAAAAAAAAAAAAGGACAATCGAATCGCGTTATATTAATCCTGTAAAATTCCCATTCCGATCGTGAAACAGCAAAGATTATTGATTGGTAATACGCGATGCGTGCAGTCACATTGGACATGTAATTAATATCGTTGTCGAGATTATCTCCTTTCAATATTTTGATCAATCGATATGGCGATGGTGAGATACATTAGGGCAAAAGATTTCGGGTATTGGCACAAAGGAATAATCGCGCATTGGCATAATTCGCCGATCGATAACCCGGATAATAGATTTTCGCACAATCGATATCGCATCGGCGATAGCCGAATCTACATTGTTTCATGCATGTTAAGTAGATTTCAAATTCAATTATAATATGCGATAATATTAGGCGAGCTGGGAAACATATATACGTTCTAGTTTCTCGGATATTCTACATTCGCCCGTGATAGATTTGCGTTCCGCGCCGCTTTGGTTTATTTTCCGTGAAAAAAAAGGAAGTAATTCTTGTCGCAGTCGTTCCACCGAGCCCCAATAAAATACGTGCCGCTGCACTTTTTGATTATTTCGCAGATTTGCGATTGCGGTCGGCTTGAGTAACGACGACAGTAATTCGAGAGGAAGACAAAAAAAAAAGGGGGAAGAGAAAGGAAAGATAAGTACGGCGCGGAATAATTTATCGCGTAATTCCTATCGCGCAGAAAACGGGAACGCCGCCGGTGCGGCGTCGGTGGTGTATATGGGAATAAAACGCAAAGAGTCGGCGACACATACGTCATGCAATTTGGATTATGAGGCAGCAAGAATGGAACAAGCGAAGGATTCCTGCGAGTCTTACAAAATATATAAGCAGTTGCATACTTGGTTATTAATCAAATCATTAATATATAAGCATGGAGTATGGATAAACGTACGTCATAATGTGCGCAATGCCTATATGTGATGTTTGGAATTAGTTTGCGTATTTATATGGAAAATTCGCAGTATATTTAAAAAAATCTGCTGTACAGCGAAATGAAATGATTTTTCGCGGAGTGAACGCGCCAGAGTTGCAAGAGTTTCAGCGTATTCTTTCTGGTTTCTCGTTTTCTCGATGTCGTAAATTAAAGTATCTAAAGTCGGTATCGCCGCCGTTAAGTGCGTATCCGTATCAGCGCCGTGAACACCTTAATCACGATGATCCACACCGACCGCGCGAATCTTTCCTACAGTCGCGATAACAACGGCGACGCCGAAAGTGTCGTGCCGGCGCGCCGAGAGGAGGAGAGAGAAAGAATATATTCGGCGGCGAAAAATATTAACAGCGTCCCCGAGTATTATCGCTTCCGTGCGCGGCTGAGAAAAAGTGTTCGAGGTTTCCTCCGGCTCGCATTACCGCTCCAGGTCACGCGCTTAAACGCGATTCGGCGGCATAAGTTAAAGCTCCTTCGTCGAGAGCACTGTGAATTGCCTGTTTTAAAAAAATAAAAAAAAAGAAAGGAAGGGCACCACATCGAATACAACCGAATCGCGCAAATTCGCACACGTGTCCGCGTTCCGGCGCGCACCGCTACGTAACAGCGTTATCGGAGATGCATGCGGTGCAGTCGGTCGTTAGAATATCGTAGAATGGAGCGTCCCGAAGCGTGGCTTGCGCGCGGCGGACACGCACGTACGCTGTGTACGGGTCCAAATATTTGAATGCCCGTGGGCCACGAATGCCAGAAAAGAGCTGTACCGTGGCTAATGACATTACGACTTTAGGACGCTCTCGGGCAAATTACATTTGCCAGGGCGGCCGGGAGGGCGCGGGTGGACGGCCCGGGCAACGGCAGCAAATGGTATAATAATATGACTCGCTGATATCGAATGAAATTGCGGCAGAGCTCGTAGACGCGTTTAATAATTAAAGTACCGGTGGCGCTAAGTGGATCGATAATTTAGTGTTCCGCACTCGTGGACCCCTCCACCCTTTCGACTGCCCCCTTCTTTTCGGCCCTTGGTTTTTCCTTACTTTTCGGTACGCGGGTATCGCTTTAATGGAATTGGAGCACGCGCCTTTGGCGAGGATCCTGGCGCGGCGGGTGTAGGCCGCGCTACAATTTACCGGGAGACGGAGTAATTTTAGTGACACATTTTAGCATTATATTGCATCCCAGTTTTATTCCAAAATATTTCATCAAATCCTCTCGACGGCGAACGAGGACGCAGTTGTTTTCATAGAGTTTCCCCGCTTTATTTATAAACGGCGTATCACGCTCGTGATCTTTTTTTAGTTGCCGCGAGGTCGAATTAAGAGACAACACGTGCGCGTCGAAACAGAGCGCGGCACACCTGCGACAAATCGCTGGTGTTGCTCGTACACTCAAAATAACATCAATTGCAACATAGTTGATTCGAGTGCCTATATCGATGTTAAGTGTTTGTGTGTTTCTCGTTTGCTCGCGATCTAAAGGACTCGATGTAATTGTGCCGGGACGCAAAAGAGGAGGGAAAAAAAATAGAATCGAAATACATAATAATATTTAGGAAATGGAGCAAAATATGACAGGAAATTAAGCTGTAAATCATCTTAATTGCTCAAACTTTTGACGTTAATTTAAAGCTTCGAAGTCGCTTATTAACATACAAGATGGATTCATTAGGCAACAGCGCGGTTCGGAAATCTTTATCAGATTACGAATGCAGCTGGAACCACGCCTTAAGCTATTCCTCTGCTCTATTCGATGTTATAACAATGATGCCGGTTGTTCACTGCAGCGTAACAGAAAATTTCAACTCATAACGAAATTAATCTCCCTTCCTCTCCCCCACCCTTTCTCCTTTGTCTGTATTTCATTAAGATACATAACTTTCTGAAAAAGAAATATATATTATAAAAACGAGCTTATTGTACGCAATTAAGAGTGCGTATTTGCCAAAGATTATTCCAAGATTCTGTTTTAGAATATTCAGAATTATTTGATTTATCATTGAAAAATGAACTTGTAGTGCAATTTATGATAATTTCGTGCTTCTCAAGAACCAGTACTTCCGTTGTTAGCAAGAAATATCTCGCTTCTTAGCTGCTTATCTCCTTGATATATTCATATGCTGAGCCGAGCATTTTCGTGCACACGAGTGGTTTGCGCATAGAAATACTAGTCATTTTGGTATGCGGCTTAACGTGTGCAGCTTCACATCTGAGCACGCACGAACATGATCCACCACTTGTCGGTTTATCAAAAAGACTTGTGCGCTAAGCAGTTCTCCGTGTGAACGGTATTCTCGCTGCTGTTCGCATTGCGCACGAAATAAATTCGTTTAGTAACTATTAATTGCAGCGTAGTCTGAGAGACACACGTATACGAAATTTCAAAAATAATGCAATTTAAATAATCCCTCTGTAACAAAAATAATCCTTTTCATTTCTACCTCGTTTCCTCTCTAATTGTGCGATAAAAAGAATTGAGATTTCAAAATTTCTCAAGCTCAAAATCTCACGACTGCTATTTCAAGTACGTTCTGAAGTATTTAAATTATTATAAATTAGTTCGCTGTAATATGATTGTGCGTTAATGTATATATATATATATATACTACTCGCTATTTCCCATTGAACGTATATTATAAACGAGCGGAGCAGCGTTTTGCACGTCACAAAAATGCCCAAGTCAGTACGCGCCTTACCGGCCTCACCTTTTTGCATCTCTCGACGGAACAAGCGGAGGCGCCGGTGCATCAATCAGCCTTCGAAGGAAGAGCCGCTAATTGCACCATCCACTATATCTTGATCAATCGAACGTGGGGCGTTGGAATTAATTAGAACGATGACGTGCTCGCTCACGACGAGCCGTTGTAGCGTTCGGTCGCGATAGAAGTCGTCGATTCGGTTGTACCGGGCAGATACCATATCTTAAGTGAGTAGTTTCCCGTCGCTCGAGGATCAAAAACGAGGAACGCTGGCCGAGATAAAACGAGCAAATTGCCTCGCCGGCTGTGCGAGCCTATCGCACGAAACGACTTTCCTGACAGTTAGTGTGATTTCAAAATAAATTCACTGGACGCAGGGCGATAACTAATTTCGTAGAGATAGCGGCTGCGTTTTACGACGTCAGCCATACCTCCTGATCGGAAAAAGGAATATACTCTGTCTCGTCTCGATAGAATTGTGGAATCGAATATTTTAATAATGATCGTAGAGCTACTCCCGCAGCGCGAAAACGACGAAAAAGTCACGAGAGATAAGACAGCCCATCTAAAAATACGCATCGCTCACCAACACAGCTGGATATTCTCACAGATTATCAGAGCATTTTTTCTATTTATATAATTATCTGTCTGCACGGAATTTCTCCGTGTAAATTAATGAATCGACCGTCAGAAATAATAACAAACTCGTCTAACCGAGTGCGGTCGTCATTTCAGGATTAATTACGCGCGCATCAACGGCAACGCGACAATCGCCGGCAAATCGACTTCTTGTTCTGAAAGTCTATTACGTTCTTGCGATACTTTTTGGCGGCGCGAACCCGGCCGGCCACGAACTGTTCGCATAGATAATATTCGATGATTTATAACGTTACGGCGCGGACGCGGCCCGGGATCCTCGCGCGGGAGAGAAAGTCATCGCTCGTTAAAGGTACACGCAACACTAAATAACATCGATGGATGATAACGAGCAAAAAATAAATAATAATGTCGTCGCGAATGCACAGCCCCGCTTTGATTAAAAAGTATAAACGAGCCCGTCCACGGCGCGGACCTGTGTCAATTTCTGTGGCAATTACACCGCCGGGAGATCTCCGCCACGCCGATTTTCGACAGTCATCGTCGCATCACGCCGCGGAATCACGAGTTATTCCGTATTAAGTGCCCATTCTATGACCCTCGTCCCTCCCCATCGCTCGCATCTCTTTCTCGCCCCCTCGTGCATCGTGTATCCCGCTCTTTCTCACACCACTTACCTTATTTGGGCTGATTGCACCACAACGGCCATCAAGCAGGGAGACCCGGCACGACTACGTCACTTCCAAATCCTGACAGGAGATCCTGCAAAGAGAAGAAGTACATTGTACAACAACCGCCAAAAAGAGGATCTTATCGTTGCGGGTATCGTGTTTTCGGAGAAGGGGGCGTAACGTAACGTTTTCTCGTGTGTCGTAACGCGCGTCTCGTGCCACGTAGTTGCCTCACGGCAACTTGGAAATTTTCTATAATTATTGATAGCATCGATAATATTACAATATTATGTAATATTACGATCGATAATATTATATAATACGTTGACGTGGCTGCTAAAGTTCTCTTGTTATGCACGGCAAAGTTCGTAGATCATCTACAACGTATCTCGAACGACTCGAAAAAGACTGATCATTAAAAACTTTTCAGCCGTAAAGCTATAAGTAAATTTCGTGACAGCATTCCCGAAAAATTAACTATTGAGAATGCCTTCGTTTTCACTTTAAAGTTCACGGAGTGAAATGGGAGTATTCAGCGATGTAAAGACGGATGAAAGATGGATATCATTATTATCGGGTTTCCTTCGCATAAATAAGATGTTACCCAAAAAGATATCCTTTGAAAATATTTGCCTGCGGTAATTAGAATCTTAAAATACCTTTTGTGTTAAATCTTCGATTATTCGAGCTAATTTATGCAAAGCATTTATCTACACTACGTGATCTCACTCGGCACGTAAAATATTACGGGTGTAGCTCGAATTCGCAGATATAAGGGTCGCAAAGGTCGTTAAAGATACAGGGTGAGACCGTCCCTCACGAGAATGTTTCTCGTAATGGGAACGGCGAGTGACGCGGAAAATCAATATTGAGAGGTAAACAAACAATAAATATGAATTGTTCCGTGAGTCAATCATGCGCCAGCGGCGAAAATGTGCTTGTAATAAAATTAAGTGGATGTGCAAATTAATGTGATCTGCGATAACGAATAATAAATGTATAAACGGTACATTTATATTAGCGTATAATTAGACCAGTAAATACAGGAGACTTAAGTGTAACGTCATCGTCGCATTATACGTCCAGGCGTAAAATTGTACACATAACTTTCTCGTAAATTGTTTTTGAAATTTAAATGCAAGACACTGGACGATTAGGCGCGGCGAAAAGAGGATGAGAGCCGAGCGGTAACGTCGGGAAATTATATGTTAGTACTGCGTACGCATAAGCGATGTAAGTAGGGTATCTATACGGTGCCTTAATAAAGATGAGTGACGACGCTTAATTAGTATTAGCTTAAAAGATACCTGACTGCCCATATATGAGTACGTTAACCGTAAGCACTGACAATAAACGTCCCGGGGAATTTAGTTGTCAGAGATAAAGGATGCTAATGGTGCGAGCGCGCAACATTTATGCAGGCAATGATATCAACCGAGTGTTCCGAGTGGTTTATTATTATGGCACGTTCGTATTGCACTTTCTGCCGTTAAAATGCACGCCGGTAGAAAAAAAAAAAAACAACAACGAATTTCCCCGGCGCTTTGCAGATGTCATTCACTTTTCTACTGGAACATTTATGAGCGACTAACTAATAGCCGTTCCGAAAATCAGACATGACGTTTAATTAAAAGTGCAAATATCGCACATAGCGGACACGGCACGAATTCTAGAAACCGATCAATACGCGCGCGGTAAGTAATTTAATTACACACACAAATAGACACGATGCGATCTTTTGCCGCGATTTGTAGATGTGTATGTACGGCCAATACGTGGAAACGAGCATGCACATAATGGACACTTTCCCAAATTATTTACTATATAAATGAGTAATTTCGCCAATATGTATAGATTCGTAATTACGACAAAACGCCGGAGAAATCGACACCATGCCATTTCCAAGGCAGCCGAGTGTGCCACGTACGCCGAATTAAAGCGCCATTTTGAGAGACCGTCAGCATCCTGGCACAAAGGCTCGCATCGGGACGTGACGGCGACGCTTAATTCGCAAAAAAAAAAGGAAAGATCTCTCTCGTCCGTCGTCTCTAGACGTATTCCAGTCAAGTGTACTACGAAAGGCATCCTTGTGAGGAGGTATCGCGCCAATTGTGGAAGACAAAGAGCGCAAGGGGTGAATCGAAGGTGAAGGACCGACGGGATGTTCTCTGAATAAAACGGTCCATTTGCCAAGGGCTAAGGGCTAAGGGCTAAGGGCATGGGTGAAGAGTAAATATGCAAGAGCCCTCGTTCTTCCGTGAAAGAGAGACAGAAAGAGGGAGGGAAAAAGAGAAAAGTGGAGTTGGAACTTACTTCCGGAGCTTATAACCCTACCCGTGGTTGTGTTATTGCAGGCAGCCTTGACTTGCTCAAGAAATATTACCGGGCCGCGTGTATATTCTTCGAAATTACTCGGGACGCGACAAATTTCATCTCCGGGATTCGGATGTTTAACACGGACGATGGTAATGTTATCAAATGCACTGTAAATCCGTATCTCCGAGCCAAATTACCATAAGTCCGAATATCCTGAGATTTTTCGAGTGACTATATCATTTTATTAGACAATGCATTTATCTTCGCGGTTAAAGCGTCCAAAATTTCGTGCTTAAAAGAAGAATAGGAATGAGAAGTGCCGTAAGTTCGCGTATTATTCCACTATTTTCCAAGATTTTTTTATTCAAATATACTGAACTTAAATTCTTATTAAATTCTCTTGTTTTGCAATAAATTATATTTCATCTTATAATTGGCGCTTGTGCTAGATTAGTTCATTAAATACACAGGATAGCTTAAATTAGTTTTCATTTATAAATAATTTTACAAGTTTTTAAAAATTTTCGAAATTAAATTTAAAATAATTATACAATTGTGAAATTTAATTCGTATTTGTATGAAATAAAAATGCAACGATTACTGTAACGATTAATATTTTTGAAACTTACATGCCTGCAGGCAATAATTAATTACTGATTACAGCTTTAAATTCTCTACCAAGCACTGTGGAAAGAGCCAATGTCTAAAAATATACATTAATTATTATTTATAGTCGTTAATTATTTGCGAGTAAATGTACTAGTAAATGAAAATCACGCGCACACATTATCGTTTAAGAGCGCCTTTGTTACAAGCATATTGATTGCGATGTAAAATGAACGAATGACGGGAAGTCTACGTCATCGCAGGTCTTCGATTACAATGATTTATTGATAACGCACGTCCGACGAAACACGATTTCGATCTTGAATACAAAATAGGCAAATGAAGTATCGCAATGTTTCACCGTTCGTCTTTCATACTTGATTGCCGTTCAAAATGTGGCCCCCATTGCTAACTTTGATCTGCGTATTACCAGTCGATTAAATATTGAAATCGTTATTCTATCTTCAGTCCGAAATTTTATTAGTGACAAACACGTATGAAAATCCAGCAGAATTCTCCGAAAACAATCGGCGGCGCCGAGTTTTTGTGCTGGACGACAAAAACACATTTTTTTTCTATAGTCGTTTGAGCACAGTTATATACAGGCTTGCGAGATATTTTTTTCCATAGAGAGGATGGGATTCGATTTCATGCGAGTTCGAAATCCGTGAATTGTCCGCAATTTTAAACGAATCATGACATTCAATTTGTTCCGCCCATAAAAAAATGAAAATTTTTTTCGTCACGATATTTTTCAGCAAGCGTAAGCAGAGATTGGAGCTAAATTAAAGCACTTAGCGTTTTCGCATGGAAAATCTGTTTGAAAAATTCTGGGTTTCTCACGAGTAAAGGTGAATCTCATGAAAAGCACACGCGCGAGGAACGCTCTCTTGATCACGCTGACCTAATAATGAAAGGAAAGCTTAGGCGGGGTATCAGGACCACCATGACACGTGTCCTTCATTTCCGCCGTATAGAATAGACTGCTGGGGAAAGCACAATATTAGGAGAGATTAACTAATTTATTCGACAAAGGCACTAGAATTGACGTATTTCTAATAATACGCAATAAGAGTTTATCGTAAAATAAATAATTAAAACGCTTCCAAAATATTCCGTAAGATTTCTCCAACTTTTACGAAAGCCAACTTTATAAATGCAATTGCAATATGTATTTTAATTAATTTTATTACTTGTTTAATAACTTGTGTATTTTAATTTTAATATTTTACGTCTGAACTTTACGCACTGCGAGCTATACATTTGCAATTCGTATTAGGAAATTAGGAAGATGTCTTTTGCATATTTTATAATGTAGAATATAATAACTAGGTGTGCGCATGAAAGGGGATTACTCGTGAGCCGAGCGCAACGTGCTGCTCTTCCGCAGTTGAATTTTCCGCGAGTACCAGCCTCGTGGAATTAGACCTATTCAGAGGGGCCATCGATAGAGGAGGGCAGTCGGTGTATCCACTCGAGCAGAATCCCAGGCCAAGCCGAAAAGCCGGGTGGCGCGCAGTCCCCTATAGTCCGTGTCTAATCCGCGTTCGTCTCGCCCGCTCACGGGGCATCTCCCATGAAGGTTGTCCTTTTGCCTGTTCATCCCAGGTCGCAGGAACCGCCGTCCGTCGGTCGCGGATCGGTCCTTCGACGATTGCCAATTCCTTATACGCCGAGAAATCACGCCACTGACAAAAAGCAGCAGCTGTTGATTTCATCGATGATCTATCGAAATGCTCAGATGCGCTCGAGTAATCAAAATGGATCGAAAGTTATTGTCTGGATTTGTTCCTTACTGCGCTTTTGTTTAATTATTGATCGAGGAAGCTACTGCGATCTCATTTGCCATGCACGCTTGCTCCGGATTAATTAATTTTTCATGTGATAAACACTAATCCAACTGTAGATTCATTTTAATTATATATAATGAAATTACGCATTGTTTCTAACCTGGATATGTGTTTTAATATAAAAATTTAATAAAATTATAATTGATAGAAAAATTTGAAATTTCAAATGTTAAATTTAAAGTTTAAAGTGAAGAACAATCAATCGTTATTTTAGATACGCTTTGTATTTTTATGTTTTCTCTCAATTTTTTAATTTTGATGTTCTATGAAAAGTATTCTTGAAATATTTTTAGTTTTATTTTTCAGAAAAACGTTTACG